TTCTTTCCCTCCCCTCAGCTTGCAGCAGTCTTTACCTTTATAAAATAATTTTTCCTGGGGAGAGCAGAAGTAATCTTTCACCTAAAGCACACTCGTACCTCTCCCAGCTCAGCACCTAGGGGCCAGTCCTCCCATTAACACACAGCACCAGACCCAAGGTGCATGTTCTACCTAATCCGCTGGGAGTTGTGCCCAAAGGGATTTTTTTCATCTCCTTTTCTGAGGCCCAGCTCTTTCTACCAGATTGAGTCCACCAGCTTCACCTGGTCCTAGTTCATCCCTTAGGCCTCTCTGGGGGCACAGACATTTCAGAGCGTTGACCACTAAAGCCATAGATGGTTGGTTCCCCAATCTAAGAATTAGGGTTAGGATCTGACAATTACAGCTTGCTTCCTCCATCAGGGAGCAAGTGGCCATCTTGGGAGGACCTTCACTTTCCTGCCCTGAAACCTTATCCTGCACTCAGGAATGGGAATTTATGCACAAACTTTACATGGCAAAGACCCCAGCCGGTCTGCATCTCCATGGGGAGGAGCTATTTGGGGATAACCAAATTCCTACAGCCTTTGGAATCACATTTTTGAGCATGAGGGTGGTGTTCATGACTTTCAGTGCTGCTGGAAGCTGCCCCTGGGATCAACCGGGAAGCTTGGCAACACACAGGCTGCAGGTCCTCAGATTCTCATTGCTACCTATTGCTGCCTTAAGATGAGAAGTTTTGTGCACACCAGCCCTTAGTTTCTTACTGCTTTCAAAGATTTCTACCAGGCTGGCAAATTTGGCAAGGTTTTCCAAGAGCAGCATAGTGCAGAGCAGGGATGCAATATGTTTACAGAATGAGTGAATGATGATGTGTACAATGCCTACATTCTGAGAAAGTAAATTTCAGAAGATTTATAAAGTAAATCTTGAGGACCTTCTTGGAGCACTATACATTCTAGTAAAATTTTTGCTCAACCTTTCCCTGTGTAGTAAGTCATCATTTGCTGCAAGATTTAAAATTCTTGGGGACTTCCCTGGTGGCGCAGTGGTTAAGAATCCACCTGCCAATGCAAGGGACACGGGTTAGATCCTGCTCCGGGAAGATCCCACATGCCACAGAGCAACTAAGCCCGTGCTCCCCAACTACTGAACCTGTGCTATAGAGCCTTCGAGCCACAACTACTGAGCCCACATGCCACAACTACTGAAGCCCGTGCGCCTAGAGCCCGTGCTCCGCAACAAGAGAAGCCACTGCAATGAGAAGCCCGCGCACCGCAACGAAGAGTAGCCCCCACTCGCCGCAACTAGAGAAAGCCCGCACACAGCAACAAAGACCCAACGCAGCCAAAAATAATAAATAAATTAATTAATTAAAAAATAAAATAGACTTAAAACTGTTATAGGGAATTCCCTGGAGGTCCAGTGGTTAGGACTCTGTGCTTTCACTGCTGGGGCCGGGTTCCATCCCTGTTCGGGGAACAAAGATCCCTCATGCTGCTTGGCCAAAAAAAATTTTTTAAATAAATAAATAAAATGAATATATAAGATATATATATATATACACACACACATATATGCAAGCACAAAGCAGCATCAGAGCCCTATAGTTCAACGTAGTTTTTTATTCAGTGAGAGCAGTTCAAAAAAGTTCCCTGTGTGCAGAATGCAAATAATGTATTCCCAGTATGAAAGTGTCTATAGAAATACTTCACTAAATATATCTTGCAAAACAATCAAATGGATCCTGGTCCTCAGGAACACTAAGATGCAAGGAAATGAGAGATCTTCACCGCACCTACAAGCCACAATGACTAGAAACATGTGCCAACAATTTTTCTTCCCTAATTTCTTTGGGTTTTCTAAGTTTTTGCTTTCTGTATTAAAAGAGGCTTAAATTTGCCCATGGTCCTTGGCCATAGGGCAAGTCCCCTTCAGACATATGTGCCATCAATGGGCCATTTTCAGGAACAGGAACATGCACTATGAACCAAACGTTCTCTGGCCGCTTCTAAATGGACCTTTAATCTCCTGGGAACAATTTGGTCCTCTTCTTAGTTCTCTGGAGGCTCAAATGAAAGACTTCCTCCTAAGTCTCAGCCTAGCAATACGGACGAGCAAAGCTGATTTCATCAATGCCAACCCAGGAATCGCTGTAACACTTTCTCATTCCAACTGATATTTTTAATAATCTTTATTACCTTTCTGATTTCAATCATAGGATATACTCAATACAAAACTTGAAAAAGAGACATAGGCACTAAAGAAAAATACAGAATATATATCTCCACTTTTACTATGAAAGTTTTCAGAGAAAAGTTAGATGGCAGAGTGAACAACGTATATAGGCTCCATCTATATTCAATGTTAATTTTGCTTTTTTTTCTTCCGGTATTATTTGCTGAGCCATTTAAAAGTTGTAGGTATTTTGAGCTTCATCTCTAATGTCACAAGAATAAGGACAATGGCCTATATAAGAACATTACCATAGCTACGAAAATAATTCCATTATCACCTAATTTATTCCACTTTCAAATTTCCAATTGTCACAAGAATTTAGTCATTTATTTTGCACTTGAGTTCTAGAATATCACACATTCTATACTTGTCCAATTATTTCCTCTTAATGTTTAATTTGTTCCTGTACCCTTTCTACTTCCTGTCAGTTGGAAGTCTAGATGCTATATAGAAGTTACTTTTTTTGGGGGGGGGGGGCCTAGGTGGTGTGTTCTTTGAATCAACAGCTCATCAGTAAGCACATACCAGGTTGTCCCATTAGCGATGCTAACTTTGATCACTTGATTACAGTGATGACAGATCAGTCCATTGTCAAGACTGAGCTTTTTCCCTTTTGCGAGTTTTTTATACAGCAACATTTGAGCGCTCTGCAAAGGTTCTGTTCCTCAGGAGCCTTTTACTAAAGGTTTTGAGATCCACTGATGATCTTTGCCTGATCAGTTATTTCGTTAATGGTTCAGGCTCTATATTAAAACACTGAATCCTTTCATGGTACATGCCAAGTACGTGTTATGATCTTTGGACAATGGACTCTCTAGGTAAACTTGAGTCGCCAGACTGCTCCCAATGAGGCTGGAAGATGGTTTGTCAGACTGTATTTCAGGCTGGAGCTGCCAGGGATACACTATTGTCAAGCCTTGCTTCCAGCCCACCCACTAAGAAGACTCATGTGGGAAAACCAAGAATACAAGGCCAGATCTAAAGTATCTCCACTCTCCAGGGACATGGGAGCAGCTTGAATCTTAGTCTAGTTGAACAAGACACTGTAGTCAGACCTGCTTTGCTGGTAAACCCAGATTTTATAAAAACAAGTAGAAAACAGAAACTGCTAGAAAAGTGGTCACAGAGTTGTTGCAAAGATGAACACCACTGCTCTGCCAAGATAGAAACACACCTCTACAGACCAAACAGGCATTTAATGCCACATACATTCAAATGGGAAAGAAAAAACGAAAGAACATACACAAACTGCCAGAAATACATTGCTGACAATTGTGTCTAAAAAGGCAGGGTGAAGGGTGAGGTTTTAAGGAATGGAGAGACTTTCAAATTTTCTCCAGAAAGTACAAATTTTCTGGAGAGCTCTTCGAAATGCAAAATTTCAAAATGGGAGATGATCGTCAGGGACCAACCAGTTAATCAGAACTTGCTTCTGAGAGGTGGTATTCCAGAATATCTCATTTTTATCCGTTACACAGCTCTGTAATTTTGACATTTATTTTTCTGGAGGAAAATGAAACCTCCAAAAAAATCTAGAGGCCAAGTGAAGCTCACAGGGTCACAGAGTTGTGGGTGGGAACCTAGCCTGCTTGTAGTTGTTGTATCTGAAGAACGGAAGTCGGTTCAACCTGGAGGCGTCAAGCAGCATGCTCCTGCGGGCTGAGTTGTTCGCCACGACTTTTCTGAAGGCTTTGATTACCTGATGAATTTACAAATGACACAGACGAGGAGTAAGCTGGACGGCAGAGTAAGAATTACACAAAGTGGAACAATACAGAGAATTATCAACTTGAAATTTGGCTGACTGTGGCCAAAAACACCAAAGGCAGAGGTACAGAATTGGGCAAACAGCTTCATGGGTTTCTGTTACCCAAAACCTCCAGGCACATCTGTGTGACAGCGACCTTAAGGCCAAGGCCTTCCGAGGTCCGAGACAGAGATGTGAGCGCTGCCCCTTCAGCACTGGTGTGGTCACATCTGCTGGCCAGAGTTGGGTCCTGAATGGTACAATGCAAGAAGGGATTTGGATGACCTGGGGACAATCCAGAGTGGAGGAAAGGCTTTCCCCGTGGAGTCTCAAATCGAAGGCTCCAAGTTACGGGGGCCGAGCAAAGATCACTTAAAGGTTCTCAACAGAAGCCCAACTGTTTACAATCCGAATGCCATTAAAAGCCTTCTTTCAGAACGTACTCACCTATGGTAAACAGCAGAGGTCTTGTAACCTCCACGTCCGTTTCTGAGTTAATTTTCTAAAAGCAAAGAATATAGCATGCCTGCAGCAAATACAACGTATAAACCCAGCAGAAACGTGAACTGTGCAGGCATGTATAACAAGTATGCAGATGCCATTTATTTGGTCCATAAGTACAGTATAGTCGTATTTGAGTTTTACAAAACATCAAATATAAATAACCTGAAACTGGAACAATACACAAAATTGGCTTCTTACACAGACATACCAGGCAGTACAAGCTGAAAACTTGAGTAAATTAACAACTGTTTTACATTAATATACATAGTGCCAGTTAACACTTAAAAACAAGTTTCAATGCATAGCACTTGATACTTCTTTGAATCTGTTTCAGTCAATTAAGAGTATGAAAATGGTTAGATCTAGGCTAAAAATAATTCTTCTTCTAACCAAAAATAAAGGCATAATATTTATAACCAGGTATCAACTTTACTAAACCACAATATTGTAAAACTGTTAAATGATACCTAAGGGTATTTACATTAAAAAGGCAACATGCATTGTGTTGTTCCATCTCATGACTGGTTATGCACACACTTTGTTCAAAGGGTTTTAAAACTATATTCCTACTTTCAATACAGCATACTGCAATGTTTCTAATAGTTCTAGCAAAATGAACGCTTTCAAAGGGAGCAGAATCATCTTCAAGTCACTGGTGCCAATTTTTTCCCTTTGGAACAAAGGACATAACAAATAACCTGGTTCTGCCCAGAAGGCCTACTGCAGTAAGAGGGTTCTGTTCAGAGGCATTTCCGTTCAATCTAATGCTATAACATCATCAAGCTCCTCTGTCTGCTCTGTGCGTGACTTTTTCGCACTGACATTCTCTTTCTCATCTAGTTTCCTCTTGCGACTTCTTTCTTCTTCACTGACATCGGCATTATTTGAGGGACCTTCTTCATCCGAATCAACTATGAGCACATCATCTTGCTCTTGTGCTTATTTCAGAAAAAAAGGGAAAAAATGGTTAAAAGTGGGGGGTTACTAGCAGCTCACTAAAATTTTACATATGTGAAAAACTAACTCTTCTAATATACACCAAACTTTAGAAAGGCTACCCTTAGGACCTTGGCTTTATACATTACATATTTCCGTAGTGTTTTAATGTTTTGTTACAAGCACCTCTTTCCTTTCTAATCAAAACAAAAATTTTAACAAGCATTATATAATTCAAAGGAATTGTTACAGTTCCTTGTTTCTACTTCTCCAACAGACAAGAGGAGGGTGAATATCCTAATATTCACAGCAGTGGTAGTAATAAACAACAACATATACATAGCACTTACAACGGGCCAGGAACTGTTCTGAGCACTTCACATATACAACTCATTTAATCATCAGAACCACCGTATAAAGAAGATAACATCATTATCCATTTTCCAGAAAAGGAAACTGAGGCACAGAGACTTGCCCACGGTCACACAGTAGCAGAGAATAAGGTCAGGATTCAAACCCGCAGAGTGGGGCTCTACAGTGTATGCTCTTAACCCTACACTATGGTTGGTTTTGTGTCACCCATCTCCCACCACTCCACCAAATCAAAGGCAGAACACCTACCTTACTCATTGCTAGAGCCTCCAAAACCTACCCACAGCAGTGCATCAATAAATGCACATTTCGAATTATGATTTTTGAAAAACTATCAGTCCTTTCCTTAAAGGAGGATGATGAACCTTTCTATTTTCAGAGGGGGGAAAAGGTCATGAACTCATGGCCCACACACTCTGGACTACCTCAAAGTCCATCTTTACAACTCTCAGAGAATACGAAAACCAAGGAACCACCCAATTCCAAAGAACACCAAAGACACAGGGTCAAAGAAATGAAAACAAACAAGTGAAAAAGTAGTAGCTTTAGTTTCCTGACACTAAATGAAGAGGTAGGTAGGTAGGGTGTGTGTGTGTGCGCGCGCGCGTGTGCGTGCGCACGCGTGAGAGGGAGAGGGGGAGGGGGGAGAGGGGGAGAGAGGGGGAG